ATATAATATGCCAGGTTGGTCCAATAACTAAAATAAATAATGAAATATTTTATGTAGGAAAGACGAAGACGTAGAGCCATATGATGATGTTTATAATTTATCTCGCGCTCCTCGCTTTCCTCGTTGCTACGAAAGCAATCTACGTGTATGACGATTTATTTTGTGGTCGATTTTTTATTTTTTTTAGTTTTTTTCTTGGAAGGACTTTAGACTGAACCTCAACCCTTACGTTTTGTTTGGTCCGGTATTTACAAGTCAGACACTTTTTGAGAGTGAGGGGGAAATGGTAAGGAATCCCCCACCCTTAAAGTGCCTCTATTGGAAATTAAACCCTTGACCTCAAGGTTGGAAAATACAATCCTTACCACTAGACCAAACTTAGCTTGGTTTGTGGTCGAATGTATTGCCTATTAATTGTGTGGATTCTAGACCCCTCATACATTGCTTGAAAACTGACTTGTATATAATTATTAAATTTATACCATAAATCCATAATTATAAAATTACTAAAGTTTTATATATGATTACATGACTAAACATGATGAGTTTGACTTATTAAAATTACAGTAAAGTATGGACTAACACATTTTTAGTACTAATGATGATAATAATAAACTAATTTGGAGATGCAAATTTTTTAAATAAACTAATTTAGAGAGAGGTGGGTGGTTGCGCCGGGGGAAAGAGGGAGGGGCTGGGTCAACCGGCGCAGGGGAGGAGGCTGGGTCGGTCAGCATTCGGGGAGCGGGACGGCGGGAGGACTGATATCTGCTGGAGGGTTGGGGACCTTGGGTTGGGGTGGCACTCGGAGGTTAGGATCGATATAGCCTTTTTATTATATATATATTTTTTAAAGTTTTTGACTAATCAATCATGCAGTGATAAGGAACCAGTCAAAGAAAATGCTCTATAAAGGCGAGATTATTTAATGATAATTCAAATATGAGATTATTAGCAGCAAACCGACAAAGATAGAAATATTAGAAGCAATTTTTTTGTTTTTTTTCTTCCTAAATTAGCCACAAGTCTTAACAAAGTATATAAGCTAATGAGATAATTACCTATGACTTTTACGTATAGTATACATGCACATATGAGATGTGACATACCCTTAATATTTATCACTAGGCCCAGTAGGGGACTGATTTGTGGAATTGTGGTGTGGGAAAGGAAGAGGGGTTGTTCATGGTCCAATATATCGTTTTCTTAATTTAAGGAAAGAAAGAAGGAAATATTTTTCTACTCCGTCCATCCCTAAATTAAAAACATCTATCACTTTATTATGTGAGTAATAAATGCTAGAAAGAAGCTTTGTATTAAAGGACGGAGGGAGTACTATTTAAAAAGGTATTCAAGGTTATATAGATAATAACAAGATATTTTATTTTGTTCTTAAATACTTAGGACACTTGAGTTTGTGTGGAAATATAGGAAGAATCATAGGCACTGCGACCATAATACATATATATAGTAATTAATTAAATAAACTTATGTATCATTGAGGAGACAAGTATTATAAGTATTTAGAAACAATTTGAGTATCATTAGAGGTCATTAAATTACCATTTCCCTTGAAATAAAAGGAAAAATATAAGTTAATCTGCCATATAAACGAATTTTTGTTAATCTGATGACATTTTTGTAAATATATTGAAAATCCAGGGTAATTTATTCAATACTTTTGGTGAGCTGTCCAATTACTGTTTGCTTTTTGCTTTTACTGTTTGGTGAGGAAATTACACATGTACCCCTCAACTAGTACATTAAAAGACGCATATACCCCTCTACTGGTACTTGAAAAGACAATTATACCCCCAGATAAACAAATATTATTTATTCGGGGAATTGTTTGGGTATCCCTCAAAATAAAAAGTGAAATCACATTCTCTATTCGTAAATTCACAAACTACGAAAAATAAGGCAAAAGGAGAAGGTTTTAAGAAAAATCACTTTGCTTGTTTGCTTAGTGTAAAAAAAAAAAAATCCTTAACTACAACCTATACTAAGGCCTTGTTCACTTTACATTAATTCAGTTCAACAAAAAATAATATCACTTCAATAAATATAATTTTAATTTGGCAAAAATAAGGTGAAGTAAACATAACCTAAATAAAAAAATAAACGAAAACTATATAATAATATACTACTCCGTAGTATGGTATAATAGCACCTCGGCGACCCCACCGGATATTGGAGATAAGAGATGACACCCTCGTTTACCTCGAGCGCCAATGTTTGACATTGAGAATTTTCATTTAATTTTTTGGCTGCGACTCTCCCTCAATTATCAGTGTTTACTCTACTCTTTTCTTCTCTTTCTGTTTACTTATCTCCACGTGCTCAAGGTGTGCAACTTGTAAGCTAATTATTCATTTATTTATTTTTAATTATTCAACGTAACCTATTTCAAAGGGTTTTGTACTTTTGTTCATTTTTGTCAATTCCTTTTAAAGTTTATGTTTGTCAATCCATCACTAAAATTATTACGTACTCCGTAATAATTTTATATATCAACAAATAAATTAATGTTAATAGCGGACATTTACTGATTTACCATGTTTTAAATAAATATACTTCACGAATGTACTCAAAGTTAATGTGTGAAAAGCATGATTTAAAGTGTCATTTAGCTTTAGCACAAGGTATTAGTCGCTTTCAAAAAAAAAATGTATTAGGGGTTGTTTGGTTACACAAAGAAAATGGAGGAAGTCAAAAATTATGGAAATTTGAAAATGGGTGAGTTGTTTGGTTGACACTAAAAAGTGAAAATGAGGGAATTGCAAATTCATGGGAATTGTGACTTCCCACAAAACATGGGAAGTTGATTACCCAACCCCCCCTAGGTAAGTCAAAATTCCCATGATTTGCAACTTCCTTCATGTCAACCAAACAATTTTAAGCAATTCCCATGAATTTGATGTAGGAATTTAATTCTCATGAAATACAAATTCCTATGGAAAGTAAATTCCCATAGCAACCAAACGACACCTTAGTCTTTCCAATTATACCTTCTTATTATCTATAGTCATTTGTTGTTGATAAATTGTTGCAACTTACATAAAATAAACAAAATAATTTCAAATCAAACCAGATAAAAAAAACATAGGTTCAGTTCAAATGAAATATACAAGTATAAAAAATAAAGTAAACTAAATAAGTTCATTGGTTTGTGAAATGTAATATGAAGTATGTTTATAACATAATATGTTATTAAAAAAAAGGGAAATTCTCCATTATAACCCGCTACTTTTTGAAATTCTACGCTGTGCCCCTAGTTTTTGGAACTTCTACACTGTAACCCTAAGGTCTCATTGGTAACTTTGTTGTACCCTCGTCGTTAAGTGTCCGTTAATAAAGTTCCGATATCCCAAAAATATTAAAAAAAATTAAAAAGAAAACTAAAATCACCAATCCAACCACCCACAACCAGCCGCTGCAACCCACGGCCAGCCCTACCCCCGTCCCCTCGAACGTCGAACGCCTCTCAGACCCTTTTTCCCTCCCTCGGTGACTGCACAGCCCCGATGACCCTCCCCTTTCCCCGTAAAACCACTCGTAACCCCTCCCCCTCCCCCACGAAAAAACACTTTAAATAACCTCCAATCGCCGGAAATCAACGATCCGCCATCTCCCTTCACCGCAGCCGTAGCCTCCGCTGTTGTTCCTTTTCTCTCTCTCCGCTCTAGCCTCCTACTCCCGGAAATTGAAAGTTAGGGTTAGGGTTTGGGATTTGAGGGTTGGAATTTGAGAGATTTTGTTGAACTTCGTGATGGGTGATTCAAAGGGGAAATGGGAGGTGGTCGGGGCAACGCGAACATCGGGGGAGGGGAAGAAATCTAGGCGGTCGACGCTCCGGGGGAAGGGTGGTGGGATGGCGGTGCCAGCGGGCTGACCATGGGGTGGTTTTGGTGTTTTGATTTTTTTTTATATATTTCATTTATTTATTTATTTAATTAAATAAAATTTTTATGTCTAACGGAACTATATTAACGGTGATTTAGCATCAAGGGTACAACAGAGTTACTTACTATACCTTGGGGTTACATTGTAGAAGTTTCAAAAAGTAGGGGCACAGCATAGAATTTCAAAAAGTAGCGGGTTATAATGTAGAATTTCCCAAAAAAAAAAATGAATGCAAAGGTGGTCATGACCAATGACCTCAAGGGCTACAAGCCTACAATAATGTTACTACTCCCTCTTACGAGTAATTCATATTGTTTTTCCTTGACGGGTATTTCATATTGTTTTTCCTACTTTAACCAATTATGTCTCATTAAAAAATTTTAAGTAGGAATAACAATACAATAACAGCGTACAATATATACGGGCATGTTCTCTTCCGTTGAAATTCAGTTCAATTCAGTTCAGTTCAGTACAACTCTTAATTTATGTCTAATGATATTGCTAATGATACAAAACCAAATTTCATTCTTTTAAGCTCTTATTACAACGACAACAACAATAACAACAACAACAACAACAACAATAATAATAATAATAATAATCAATAAGTAATAAATAATAATAATAATAATAATAATAATAATAATAATCAATAAATAATAATAATAATAATAATAATAATAATAATAAAATAATAATAATAATAATAATAATAATAACAACATTAAAGAGAGTGGGGTAGGGTGTTGGACTGTTGGGCCGTTGCCTCTGTTAGCTTTTCGTGTTTTTTTTTAAAAAATATTTTTTTAAAAAATTTGTTTAAATGGGTTAGATACATGTAAGTTTTCAAGTTTTTAATATATTTTCCATAAATTTTATAATTATATAGTATATTTTTCGTAAATATTTTAATATGTACATTTGTATGTACACATATGTATAGTAATAAATAATCAATAAATAATCAAAGATCACTAATCCGTAGTTAAAAATCACTAATTAATATGTTCAGTTCAGTTCAGCTCAGCTGAGTTCAGTCAATCAGCACAGATCTGTAGTATATGAACTTTCCCAATGATCCGACCAACAACATCAGATAACAACATAACACAAGGGATACATATATATATAGTGCAAGTGACCTTTACAATTCAATTCACTACCAAAACAAGGCCTAACGCATAATCATCGTGTGAAGAAGAAACTAAGACAAAATTCAGAATAATCCAATGTACTAGCATCTTAAATCTTAAATCAAAAGCAGAAACTAAAAATGAAAACAGATCAAGGAAAAAAAAGAACAATTTGTACACTCGATATAGTAAAAAACTGTTAATAAAAAAGAAAAAAAAAAAAAAAAGAGCAGCTAGTAATCAAAGTCATCTACCCCTCGATTGCTCATGCTGGGGCGTCTAACTAACCGGTGTAACGATTGCACCACCTCTGACATTGGTGGCCGAAATTCTGGCTCCGTCTACAAAATACCGAGATAAATTATTAAGTTAATAGAATTGGCTATGATTTATGTTACAAGGACTCAGGTACTCATGTCCGACACGGGTATGTGTCCAAGCGCCCGACTCGGCTATTTTGTGGGGGAAAAAAATATATGTTTTTGAACAAAAGGTGAAGTGTCCAAGTGTCATATCCACGTCTGAGTGTCAAGAGTCCGACATGAGTATTTGAGGTGAAATGAAAAGTCCATGTAACATAGGCTATGAATGCAAGCCCATTGCAATTAAAGCTTTAAGTTAGGAGGCACAGGTGGGGACGAATATGAATTGTGATTGTATCTGCCCCAATGCCCCATACCCAATCACGACACCTCGCCTCATACTTAAATTTCTTATCATTTTTTGGAGTGCATTATTATGTCAATTAAATATTGGTTTATCGATGTTAAACAAGTAATTGGTAGCAGAGGTGGGTAATGGATTTTCAAACATTTAGTAGGAATGAATCGTTAAGGCATGTATGGTGGTTGAGTTTTAATTCGTTCCTACTGGGGGTTAGTGGGTATGAAGGTATTAGGCGGGTATGAGGGCATAAGGGAATGGTCCCTCGTGCCCACATTGCCCCTAAACTTGTCAATTATCGATAATACACAAAAGTTTATTATTAATTACGCATAGTTATTAGTGCAGGTATGATCGCACCTAGGTATAGGGTATGGGTGTATGGCCGCCTAAGTATTGGTTTTTAGTAATAAGCCTTACCCACAATTGTTAAATTTTGAAAAGGACATATAGTGCTCACCTGTACACAGAGCGCGACAATATCAGCAAACCGAGAAATTGACTTGGGAGGGTAGAGGCCACGTAGTGCTGGATCAACCATGCTTTCAAGAGCGTCGATATCATGAAGCTGTGATAAGGCCCATTGGACAAGATATTGTTCTGCTTTTGGCTTTGTACTGTAAAGAAATGAAGGTAATAATCAGCAAAGATAATACAGTCTGATAGAGCAAATGGTTGATATTGATTCTCGAGTCACATTCCAACACAGTCTGTGAAATCGAGGGTGGTATGGTTTGAACTTTGAAGTACAATAACAAAAACAGCAAACCTGTCATAAGGCATTCGACCAGTCAACAGCTCAAGCATGACAACTCCAAAGCTATAAACATCGCTCTTAAATGTGTAAGCTGCACCATTTGTGCATTCTGGAGCACACCAGCCACCTCCAAGGTTTCCAGTTGCATCCTGGAGTAATCATTTAAGAGGAAAAGGATCAAAGGATTTTCAGAAAGGATATTTAACAAAGAAAAGGAGAAAACATGGAAACAAATGGACCAAAAACTTGAACTTTATCACGGCTGTATTCAGTTTAAGGGTTACAAAAGTTGCTTGATAAATGCTCACACCTATACAAGTTAACTGAAAACTCACAACTCGCCATAATAACGAATAAATCACAGATGACACAAAGACACCTAAAAATTTTGAATATTCTTACAAGGAAACCCTCTTTGTGCAACTACAATATCAGCCACTGATCAGAAATAATGAAAAATACGAAGTATCAGAGTTATATCTACAAAGCAGATCAAGGTTCATCAATGATGGAAACAATGCAATCCTAGCAGGAAAACCTAGAAGCAATGACTAATATGAACATATATAGTTGAAAACATTAGACTTATATAGCACCACCACCACAATTGCCAACCATTAGCAGCTTCTGACCTGATAAAAAATTGCCAAACCACACTCCGTTAAACGAGGATTCAACTCCATATCAAGTAAAATGTTGGATGACTTGATACTCCTGTGAAACAGGGAGCAAGTTTCATGCAGGTACCTGTAGACAAAGAGGTGTGAAATAACTTGAAAAAATACACATTACACGAGGATGTACAATTGTACATGGCAACAGTGGAATGAATCTCCCTTTACAAGAATGTCAAATTTAAATAATTAGAAGGAATAAAGAATTGCATGCAACTCCCTCAACAGTGTAATAATGAATCAATTAGCATTCACTATTTCACTTATCAAAAAATTTTGAACTACTGTAATCAACAAGCTTTTATCAAATCCGAGCATGCATGTATATAAATAATACTTTGTATATTTCCAACTAAATATTCATTCCAAGGAGCATGCAGCGAAGTAACATACTCAACAGCTCGTGCAGTTCCTAAAGCAATCTTCACCCTAGTATTCCAAGTAAGCGGTCTGCTGAATTCATCAGACAAGTGGAGATACTCATGAATCGAACCATTTCTAAAATACTCATACACCAGCATGTTATGTTTCTGCTCTGAACAATGTCCGGCAAGCTCGACAATATTTGGATGGTAAATCTTGGAGAGGCTTGAAATAATATCAGAAAACTTTTCATCTTGGCCATCTTGAAAGAATGCAGAGCTAATTTTTTTCACTACTATTACCTGGAAAATAAATCAAGACATAATCTGTAAGTCAACACACAGTATGATCCTATAATGCTCATGATCATATAATGCTGAAGTCAAAGCACCATAAAAAATACTACAGATAAGTAAAAAAAAAAAATGTTGTTTAAAGTTTAAACATCAACATCAACACAAAAGAAATCTTAGCACCAAGTACTATACAGGGGCTCAATATATCATCAACAATGGACAATTATTATGAGAGCATTGAGATGTCTTATCCTTTGTAAATACCACCTCCGTTTCATATTATTTGCAACGATTAGACACTTTTCCTCTCTACTTTATGTCAAATCGTTGCAAATAATATGAAACGGATGTAGTAAATGAAATAATATTAGTAGGATTTCAGGCTATCTGATTGACAAGCATTAAACGCATGCTGAATTCTATGAGACATATTTACAGTGAGTATAAAGTATTCAAGCAACCGATACCTTGCCATCTGGACGTTTGGCTTTATAAACACGTCCAATGGATCCTTCTCCAAGCAATCGACTCATAGCAAAGTTGCTAGTCGCAGTCTGCAACTCTGACAATGCATAAGGGGTGATTTCAAAAGACACCTTTCTTGGAGAAGCAGCATTATTCACAGGCTCATTGTTTCTAAATGACTTCATGCGGTATGATAGTGAAGGCTTAAGACCAATTGGACCAGAAGATTGTAAAGCCTTTATGTCGTGGTCTGCCAAGTATGAAACAAAAGATAAGCAAAGAAGTGATCAGAACAAGAGAGGAAGTATGAACAGAAACACTATGACAGCTCACACAGAATAATAAGGCTGTAGGCATTGAACAACAAATTATGAGGTAAAAACAACTCAAAATGACAGGACCAGCATAGAGAATTCCACGACAATCATGAAAATCTTTGAAAACAAACTGTAAAGAACGAGGAATTACCTTTGAAGCCTTTGTCTTTATCTATTCCCAGTTCAGTTGAGTATCTATTGGACCCAAAGTAGTTAAATGATTTGCGACCACTTTGATTATCTTGTTCATCATACAAACTTGAAGAGAAAGAAGATCTTTTTCTCGAAAGTATTGCTAGAAATGTTGCAACTACCACCAAAACACCCATAATAATCGCAGCAATCATTGCCCCACTTAACCCACCTTTGCTCATATGGGTAGACTTAATATTGCCACTCGAAGTCATTCCAGGAGGAGGTTGCCCAGAAGACCAAGAATTTCCTTCAATGCTTCAAAATAATTACTAAATGTTAGAGATGTTACTATGACAAGCTCAAGAAACTTATATCGATTTGTTACTTCCCAGTAATCTAAGGCAACATCAACAATAATATCCCAATGAACCCAAAGAGGCTCTTAAGAAGGCGAGGAAAGCTTTGATGAGAGAAGTCCAGTAATCTAAAGCAAGACAAAACTAGACAAGAGTTTATGCGTATGCAGATACTTACTCTATTTTTTTCACTTTTGTCAACTCATTAGGGATCCACCCACTGAATTTGTTGTTCGCTATATTGCTGCAAGCATGACATATACTATTATCATAGATCTCCAGAGAAAAGTAGGCATGCCAATCTTCAACATATAATAATGCTTAACATAAGCATATTAGAAGAGATAAAATAACATTTATTATTCAAAAATGAAACTAGGGAAACTATAGAACTTGAGATCTGTTGAGATAGAACTTATTTTGTTTCTGAATCATTCACAATAACATGTTTCTGCAAACTCTGCATGCTACCTCACCTCACCATAACAATAGTCGTCCTCTTCCTCTGTTATGTGTTCCCATCCATTATGTAATAAATGCACTCTCAAAAATATCTTTCCCTCTTCCAACATAAGTAGCCAACATTACATTCGATTTCATTAAACAGCGTATTGGTTCTCTTTTGATACAGGAGTCATGTGAGCAGTATGCAGTGCATATTCTCACCTATATTTGCAAAAAGACTAAAAGAGGGTCCTTGATTCAAATGCAAGAATAGAGTGTAGCAATATATGTATTCAGAGAAGAAAAATATATCGAATCAAGACTCAGTAAGAGATGTTTCTGAGTAAGAAAAGTTGATGAGAAGATTGTATAGCAGAAATTATGCATGTTATGTAGGATATATAGTAGAATGAGGTAAATGCATAGCATCGCTCCATCAGAAAAATAAATAAAATTCTAGTCAATATCATACAAAGTAATAAAAGTAACCAACTTACAGCTCATCAAGTTTTAACTTTCCAAGCACATTTATCTGGCCATTAAGTTGATTGTTCTGAAGATACCTGTGATACAAACAGGTTCAGCTTCATGAATTCTTAAGGCACAAAGGTATATGCAATTATTTCTTACAGTGTAGAGAGGCTTGAAAGAGATTCAAAACTCTGAGGTAAGCTGCCAGATAGTTTGTTAAATGAAAGATCCCTGCATCATTCAGCAATTTGAGCACTGATCAACACATCCACCAGAGAGACAGAATTAAGCAAAAACAGGCAGTATCCATCTGATAACAATGCAAGGTAAACATGCTCCATCCAAAAAGGCTATAAATTCAGATGTACATTATTTGGATGAAATATAAAATCCATACAAAGCCACATCAAGTTATCATTTAAGATTAGAAATTTTCAAAATTAGAATGGAGTTCCAGGCTTAACTTTTTTCATATTGTCGAATTATGGTTGAATAGCTTGAATTTGAACTCATATCTTCTAAAAGATTGTATTTAGGATTTTGGGACTAGCAAATTTATAAGAAAAATTAGCTCAGAGCCCAAAATCAAATGATGGTTCAGGTGTGACCATTTCATATAAGTTATCAAACAAGAATGTACAGTCTTCATATATTGCAAGTTTGCAACAAATAAACTTCTAACCCCACTGAGCCACCTCCCTTGCTATGTAGGTACAAATTTTTTTCTCAGTTTAAAACATTAAAGAGCATCATATGCCCAGCCTCCAATATACTTTGCATCAAATAATTCATGAACTTAAGTTCAAAAGTCCTATCATCTGTGGTGTTATATTATCATTAGCTCTAGCTGTCTTATGCTTACCATTATAACTAAATGAGATTCCATTCATTTATAAAGCACTTGCAACTTCAGTCTCTTTGAACAACTTTTATTCTCTCAACCCGAACTTTCAAAATTAAAAGAGAGGATACCAAACGCTCAACTCATTGTGTTTCTGCTTCAACTTTCTTATAATGCACCGCTAATCTATATTATGTATCATGAGATGTAACAAAGAAAAGGAAGCGCCGGTTGAAAGGTATGAACCAACAAAAGTTCAGAGTTAAACAAGTTTGACGAAAGCACTTACAAGAGATCAAGATTTGAAAGTGAGCTAAACATGTCAGTTATCTGACCATTCAGCTGATTATGACTTAGGTCACTGCAGTGCACAAAAATACACAAACTTAATAATGAAGCAAATGTCTCAACCAGGGCACAGATATGTTTCTGATAAGAATAAATAATATGTCAAACATCACTTACAGGTCCTTGAGGCTTTTCATTAGTGAAACAGAATAAGGAACAGTACCGGTAAAGCCGTTGTTGGACAGATCACTGATAATCACAGCAGTATTAAGAAGTCAGTCAACTAATAGAATCAAGTTCGGAACAAAAAATCTGGCGAACTGTGCAATAAACACATTGAATAATGAATAATTGATGCCTTTCAAGACTACATTAGTAAGCCAAAGCAACCAAAATGAATAGAATAACTATACATCAACATTTTGAAAAACAGCAATAATCTCTACAGCCTCGCTATGAATACCTCTCAGAAGATATGGGGTGACATTCACATTATGCAACTAAAAATTAACATCATAAGCAGCTCAGGCAGCACACTTAAATAGCAAGTTTGAAAATGTCTCACACTCACAGGTGTTTCACATTGGGAGGAAGTTGATAAGGTATGTCACCACTGAGTTTGTTGTTGCTCACATCGCTGTTCCATGACAAACAGGTGCATAATTAATAGCTTAACAGGTTAATTCCTTAATATCATGAATAGTAAATCAATTACGAAACTAAGACAAAGAAAATACGAGTAAATAAGCTCACAAGTAGGTGACTGATGCAAGGTTTGATAACTGATAACCCAGTGATCCTGTCAATCCTAAACCAGATAAATTTCTACAAAATTGATCAAAGAAAAACAAAACTGTCAAAATTTAATTCAGTTATTAAGAAAAATACTGCTAAAAACTGCAAAAATTTAGAGAATATACATTTCTGTGACTGATGATTTAGAACATTCAATGCCTTTCCATCCATCACCACAAGGATCACCACCATCTGATTCCCAATCTTTCAACTTTTTAGGAGAATTCAAGCTTGTGAACATCACATTAAGAGCAGTGACTATATACAACAAATAAAAACAAAGATTCCATCAACATATAATCATATAATAACAAAAAACTCCTGAAAGTTTATGTTAATATCCGAAATTGATCAATCTCACACACACGAACAGTAAAACCGCTAACATAGGCTTCCTTGAATAACCCACATTATAAAGGGAAGAAATAAGAAAATCTAAGAAAGAATTACCATCTTTAGAATCAGTTTTGGAGTGCACTAATGTAAGAACCCCACAAAAGAAGAACCATAATGATAATCCTATGAAATTGGGGGACATTTCTGAAAACCCAATTCCCAAAAAGGACAGATAGGATCAAAGACAGACATACAAATCAAAGCAGCAAATTCATCAAAATAAATTAGGGATTTTGCAGATGAACACCATGAATGTTGCAGGAAAAAATTTGAGAAAATGGAGAATTTCCCAGAACTACCCAGAAATTCTATGTTTCTAAATTTGGATTGTTGAGGCATCATTTCTGCTCTCTCTTTCAATCTAGTGTTTTGGGTGCAAAGTTGATGCGTGCCAAATTTAGGAAAATCCTAATACGTTGGGTGAGAGAAAATAAGGGAATTGAAACTGATGATAGATAAACCGTTGAGTTCGCCCCATCTCTTGGAAAATTTAACATCTTGTTTTAATCTTCATCTTCATAGCCCCTTTTCATTTGATCTATTCCCGCTCTCTTTGAGTACTCCCTCCGTTTTCAAAAGATTGTCGTTTATTTTATTTTTGTGGTATGACCAAGGTTGTGTATAAACAATTTTATATCATTCCTAAATTCACAGAGTATTGATTTAAACATGTATGGCAATATCATACGGTAATCAACGTAATTAATATTATTTGCAGCGCTAAAGGCTTTCAAAATTCTTTCACCAAATTTTTACATGTACAAAAGTAAGGTTACTAACATAGTAACACATGAGTCTTTTCTTTGAATGAAAGAAATGATACAAGCAATCTAGAAAAAACGCTAGTCTTCTGCTAGACAATACATGATGAAAAATTCTACAAGAACAACTTAGCTGAATATTACACATATAAACATATGATGAAAACTTTAGGCACCACCATACTCGAGAGCTTGAGAAGACGAGAACTTCCCAAGAAAATAAATCGGAAGTGTAATTCTATTCAATTGATTCTAGCTGAATTATTCAGAGTCAGCTTTGTTAGAAATATTACATCAATTTCAATTAACAAAAACAACAATATACCAACTTGTGTATCATATCTCTTACAAATCAAAAAGAAAAAAATGACAGAAGACACTGTATGTCATATTGTCATCGGATTTTGTGGTTTTTGCTCATAAATTAAGCACAAGGAAAGTGCAATTATACATAAGTCACATGTGAGTCGATTTGCAATCGATATACTTGTATAATATACGTACTCACATATATACAATTCCAAGCTTAGAATGAGCACTATCTTTCTGCTATCTTCTTCCAATTCCCTCAGGAATATGAGGTACAGCCGAGATATGAATCAATGAGGAGCCAACGACTACATATCTGGAATTCCCGACAGATGAAATGATGTATAAACTTTTTTATTAGCCCTGCTGCTTCTGACCAGATGATGAGCCCCGCTACTTAACTTCTTCAAAACACAAGCGATGGCAACTTTGGCACCTAGACCCGGATTGCCGTGGGATAAACAGATTAAGCCTCCAAGAAGAAGCAAGCCATTAGCTATCAATTTCTTTGAAGGCTTCCTCTTGCACTTTTGAGAAATAGGTCCATTTTCCTGACCACTGATGCCATTGCTAGAACCAGAACCAGAACCAGAAGCTATATCCGAAGGTGCTGCTCTGATAATGACATCTAGTTCACGGGGAACCTACATACAAGATAAATCACCACTACAATCATGCTGTATTATATATAAAAATCTAAGTAAATAAAACATCTGTAAAATCTTACATCAATACGAAACTAGCACACAGTAGAGATTGTGGCCTACAACCAGCAGTTCCAGAGTATCCAGTTATCCCTACCACCACAAATACAGAGGAATGCTTCCTACTTATATAAACAACTTTACTAGATTTTTTTTACAGAGGTCCCGCCCAGGATGGAGCAAGCATCGAACAAATGTATGCAGTCTAAGTCTCAATCCTGCATTTACAGAGGAAGTCTCCTGTTGACCTATGATCTAGATCACCATTTACTATAATACGACAAATTAGACGCATGGCTGCATGGATAGTAAATGAACCCTTAGCTGATTTATATAAACCAAAAGCCAGCAAAATGTAAACCTTCACATTTTTAAGCTTCAATTGCTGTATTAATTATACTTAATTCTTTGCTAAATTACATCCTAAATTTCAGTTCAATGAAAATTAGTATATTGACCCTGCAGCTTGGAAACTTCAATGAAATAGTAATATAGTACGGAGTATTGCTTTAAGCAACCTTGCTAATCATATAGATTACCACTCCAAGTTTTAATTGCTGTATTAATCACTTCTTCATTCTGTGCTAATAAACATCTTAAATTTCAGTGCAGTGAACCTGTGAAGGCAAATGACAGAACACTTACCATAACAGGCAGCATAGCAGCCTATACTCTGTCAGTGTTGTATGCGATTAAAATAAATCCACTTAATGTTAAGTCTTTGGTGATTATGACCTGGCTTTTTAAAATCCTTTAGATAACCTTTTTTAATAAATCAAGTGTGCAACCGCAAATCATATAACATTCCTAGGCAACATGCAGCAAAAGTAGATACTTCTGCCCAAAGTTCCAATAAATATAATGTTACTGCAGCATAAGACGTCAGAAATTGCCCGTGATCACAGTATAAGCAACATCCAAATTTGCGTATCTTATGAAAGAATTACCAACATAACAAGATGCCTATGAAACCAGAATATTATTCACAAGTCACTACAGCATCAAACAGTCAAACACCCAAAAGACTTCTCCAACTTTCTCAAAAGAGTAAGGTACTCATTTTGCCCTGTCCCAAATTACATACCCACTTTCCTTATACAATGTTCCAAAAAGAGGTACTCACTTTCCCATCTAGCTATCTCAATTTCAATACTTTCTTTGACTACTTATTTTCAAGCTATCCAATTTTTCATTATACAATAAAGCCCCCATTGTAGTAGCTTTAGGACAACATTTAGACATTTAGTTCTAGTCTCCATGCCCTGATTCCCTACATAAGTGGGAACTGCAAAGTTTAAAAAAAAAAAGGGATGGGGGTAATAGGGTAATTCACATCTTCATCAGAATGCTGACCGACTCTATGTACAGAAACAATTGTTACTTTGAGCCAACCCTTCATAAAACGATAAGAAGGTGGCAACAAGGTTTCCCTACAGACCCGCTATAATAATTATATCATTCCACACATTCCTTATCACTCATTCTAAGTTGGGATTTTTTTTATTATTTTTTTTTAACAATCAATGTAAAAAACATGACAATTTTTTGCGGATATCCCAAATAGTAAACATGGCAGATATTTCCAAAGGAAGCTTTAGCTTGCTGACACAGTTTAAAGTGGTTATAAGGAAAAGGAGGACAAAAAATAACTGAGCCTAACCTTCTGAATGACAGAAACAGCAGTCGTTGTTGAACTTGACTGCGGGTGAGAGATTGAATAATACTTGCGTAAAGCATCATCCATTTTACAAACATAACCCCATATCCCTTTTGCAAATGCCAACTTTGCAAATTCCACATTCAAACCAGCATCTTCTTGATGCACCATTCTGATTTCACTTGCATTTCTTCCAGGTACTGAAGCAATACAAACTCACCATCAACTCATCAAGTTTGTGATATACAACCACTCCTAGTTTCTTCATCATAATAGCAGTTCTACATCCTCAATTACTAAACAAGAGAGCACTAATACCTCAGATGATTTTTCACAGAAGACGATGCATTTTAGAAATACTAAAAAGAATCACCTTCAGAAAGATGAAATATACATTTAGCAAATATAGGCACTCAAAGCACAAGAAAAACAATATACGAAGTATATATTTACTTGCCTTGCCGTATTCTCCACCCAGATCTGAAAAATGCAACACGTACATACTTCTTTTGAATAGGTGCCAAAGGATGCTCACATTCCTAACGAAGGTCATCAGCAATAGGCAAAACGTCTCAGGAGAAACACAATCGCAAAATAGCTAAGAAAAGTATAACTCAAAAGCTCAAGACACCTGGGCCAGTAAAAAAAATTTAATATTGACAAAGAAGCTCTGTGTTTAATACAATGACTCGGTAAAAAAAACATGCAACATATGAAATTATTAGAGCCACTAGTGAGGATTTGAAGATAACCTAGCCTGCAAAAAGGGGGGAAAGGACAAGGTGATGAAATGAATATCTAGCTAAAACAATTTGAAACTTTAACATGATTTCTCAAAAATATCTCGCATAAAACCTCCTAATGCTTTTGCAACAACAGCATTAATTGCCCCTTCTCTAACAAGAAAAAAAAAAAAAAAAAAAAAAAAAAAACAACCAAGCCAAGCACCAGTATACTATATAAGGAATGTAAACAGAACAGGAACCAAACATCCTAAACAACTCTAAGTAGTTAATAATAACAAAATCCCTCCACTAGCCACCACAATGCAGCCCCAACGACTTTTTTTTTCTAATATTAATTATAATACATTGATCAAGAAGATTTGGATTCACTAACGAAAACTAAATAAAATTATTGTTCCCAGGTGACATGTTACTTGTCGAACATTAAGCTGTTATGATGTACTCATGTACAGCAAGGTAATTCAAGCATATCAACAAATACAGATTATGATACCTCAGTTTTTAACTTCCACATCGCAAACAGTATGTCAACCCGGACTTTCTACAATGTTTCAGGAATCAGGAAAATCAGTTGACCTGCTCTTTGAATATTTATTCCAGTCTATTTTGTTTTGTGAAGTAGTTAATCATAATCCACATCAATCATATTATTTGTAAGAAAAAGAGCATAATAGAACTTCAAAATTCAACATTGTTGATAGAAATTCTATAAGGCCACAAGGACTATGCAATATCTTTTTTCTGAATGTGGAGTATACAATACTATATGTCACACACCAAACTTTGTCAAACAAAACATTGAAGAAGCTCTGGTAATATTTTAGGTTAAGATGAAAGGTTAAAAGTCTAAGAACTCACCTTTGAATAGCAATAATACGTCTTATTGTTGCCTTTCCAAATCTTCCATGCCAAAACATATTCTCTGGGCGTCAAAAGAGGAAACTTCTTAATGGTCCTCCCAATCTCAGTTCCATTTTCTTTGTCAATCTGCAATTGCTCATGAGCAACCACTGTTTTGTCCCACTGCGTCCTATAGTCACAGTCCATATAGAAGTCTCTTAGGGCTTCAGGGGTGCAATTCTCAAAAACAGTCACACTCAAGTATTTGATAGGACCATCCTACATAAAATAACAAAGAAACACACATCAGTAACACTATCGCTGATTATCAAAGCAACCTAAGTCTTGCTTTAAAACAAGAATAGGGATCGAGAAATGACAGAGGCGTCAGTTAGGGATGACCAATGGGGCTAAACGTTGAGCAGAAGATGCACAAAAAAAGTGGTTCTACAACCTACTCATTAATACAGGCCCATTATACAGGAAAGCCTTATATAACTCAAATCTCTTTCAAAGATTGATGTATCACAAGATGCAAATTCAAATGGTCACTCTGAAATAGAGGTGCAAAAACCATTGCAGTAATCTCTGCTTCATAAACTAGCTAGAAGAAAGACAAACAGTCACCCGCCAGAAAGCAATTTAACATCTACACCATAAGGCAATCAAACACACTTTACTAGGAAAAGAGTTCCACAACTAAAACTCAATTGGAAGTTTGGAACGTAATGATTGTGTCCTTTGCAAGTAATGAAGGGATTGATGAGCCATTAGCATAGTCTCCAAAAGTGTTCAGACTCTACTCACAAGGAATTTGACATATCCAAAGCCTAAAACAAAGAGAGAAAGGAGCAATTGTAAAGTAAATTATTCAACTCTATATCCATGCACAATATGTAAACAATTTAATAAATATGGTTACCAGCGTACCAGTAGTGAAATTCTATGTCAACAAGCAAAGAACATCAGTGGAAACTGGCTAGAAAGAAAATTTAACCAGATGCCAACATAAGCTAAAGAAGTACACAGAAATGTCTAATAATTTCATCACTTGGTCAAAATAGAAAAATACGCGCACGAAATAGAGACTAGAGAATCCAGATCTAAGGAAACACCTACGTGGTAACATCCCTCCAATTAAATCAGTAACCAGAAATGGTGCAATGTTAATAATTACCTTTGGTTTACAGCATTTTGCCTGGTAGGACATAGAAGTCCTGCTTTTGGCAATGACGTTTTCCCATCTAACTTGTTCAGTCTCATTGTCTTTCTCATCCAAATTGTCAATCAAACTTTTCAAATCACCGTCTGATACTAGGTCTGATATTCTGCAATTGAAGCGCAGAATTTGTAATATGAGAAGTTGAAAAGGATATATAATTATATATAAGTATGTATAATATAAATATAAAAACTTTGCTCTCATTGCACACAATCAGCCCATGAAGATCAAAAAAATCTGTACAATTAACATCTATGCTATTTGGTGCAGATCAAATCCAGCGCAAATAGAAAATCAGAATATAAAGGAAATAGAAAGATATTGATATTTGGAGATGACAATTGTATAGCAGATCAAGATATACAGAAAGTCTGATAGTAGTATAGCACTGCGCTGTGATTCACAATGCCCAAGCATATACTCAAGAGAGGCAAAGCTATTTCTACGAGTATGAGCTACACTTGATAAAAATATATAATGATACATGTAACAACCACCACCACCAAAGAATGGGGTTTGCTATGCAAACCAAAGGTAATACCTCCGGTGATCATCAAACTGTCTTGCCTGTTTTACTGGTGCCCAAAAATGCATTCCCTTCATGAGAGATAATCACAACACATATGAAGTACAGTACTATCTTAAGATGCTTCCAAAAGATTTTCCGGTTTATAAGAGTGATTAGAATTTCGTATACACCCCAACTAAAATGAAAGGCAAAGCTGGCAGACCCACAATTGTAAAGAATCTTTTAGTGAATTCATATCGACTCTTTAGTAATATGAGGTTAGTTTAATGCAGCAACTATTACAAAACAGAGAAAGGGCATTGGAAGTACCTGCAACTGACTGTAACTCAATTCTTAAAAATGATTCATTCAACACAAGTAGACATTGGTATCGGTACCTATTTTGAGCATAGCACTTCATTCATTTAACTTCGAAAACTACACATAGCTTATTGCGTTTTCAGTTTCGAGCTTTATTTCTTTTTCTTTTTTTGACAGCTTTAGATTTAGTTTGCCCATTACAAGTAACACACTCCATAATAATAGTTCTAGTGTAACTCGTACCTTCGAACTTCTATACTTTTATAATCTTTAAACAATATACGAGTATGTTCGTAAATCGTAATCTTTAAGCTATATGTTCGTTACGTTTAAACTATTTTGTTCATTCGAGACCACGATGCAACATCATCATATAATATGGAGTATTCAATTTATACAACAAATTATTTAATCACGTTTTTATAATCTAATAAAAACTGGAAATTCAAACTAAAAAATAGAAACAATTACAAAATTCCAATAAAAACTACAGCATTGGCAAAACAAAATATAACAATCATAAATAGCAAATAGAATGAGAGATTACCGAAGAGAGGAGATAGAAGCATCATCAGAGGAGAGAGAAAGAGGAGGAGAAGAAGAATTGCGTCTAAATCGAGCGATTAAACCTCGAAAAACTGGGAAAATAAACTTGAAAATTTGCCATACAAAGATGAAAGAGATAGCAGCAATTGCAGCCCAACCTCCTCCTTTGTTTTCCTTCCATAATTCTCTGACTTCTGAAAATGTTGACGATGATGACGATACCAAAATTTCCGCCATTATTGATGTCCTTGATTACTTTGCTGAAACCCTAATTTGATTGCAAGCATCAATCAATGAAAAACAGAGATGATTTTGATGGTTTATTGCGGTAAGAATGAAGAAATTTGATTGAATTTAGGGTAGCTAATTTGAATTGAATTGATTCGAAATTAATGGAAACGAAAATCCGCCATTGATGAGGTTTTGGGAAGTGAGGAAAGAGAAGAAAAAGGATAGAGTGTTTTATAACGACTGTCGAATAAGTATAAACCAATCTCTCTTCTAGTGATGTTGACCTGTCTTGGATTGACAAATGGCCGGTTCTTCCGTCTTTTATTACGGAACAATACATTTCATATCAAATCGTTGAAAATAATACGTATGAAGCAAGGTAGTAATTGCATCATTTGAACTTTATGAATACCAAAATACTCTCCAGCCACGAAAGTCACATTTTGTAATTGGTGCGGCTCGAACTTGTAACCACAAAGTCTTAGGTTGGTGTGTATCTTGTTCTAATATTGATTTAATATAGTTAGAGTATGTACCAAGAAACCCCAACTCTAATGTGAAACTTATTTGAACATTTTGTTGTTTATTTGAAAAGTCCTCCAAATATTGCCATCAAAGAAAAACTAATTGTCCAAAATATGAACAAAATTACAAGAGGGAAAATTAGCTAAAAAAAAAAATGGGACAATTAGAACAAGATATGTGTACACAGATCACATTGGAGGTAATCGACAAATCGAGTTCAATTGGATTACAACCAAAACAAAGAAAAATCAAAAGAGATTATTTTACTTTTTGTATTATCATGTGTTTTTATTAACACCTCAAAATTTGTGTGTTTTTTTGCAACCAAAAAAAATTTGTGGTTTCCTTCTAATTGGGGTAGGAAGTATATGTCAGCATGTATTGTGACAAAAGTTTACTGATAAACTCCAAAAATTATTTATTAAATTGGACTTTTTGCCTTTCATAATGGATTTATCATCACTAATACATTATCCATGATACTTATTTAGTAAATACTCACCCTTAAAAATATAAGCTTTCAATTTTCTCTTTCCTGTCAAATTCCATACAATTTATGAAATAAAACAAATTGAAATAAAGGTTTAATAAACTTATACTCTTGTCACTCAATGACTCAGATTTTACCTAAAAAAAAAAAAAGGTAAGCAAAATTTTACAAGTGTTCTATCAATCCTAGAACAAAATTTTATGGTACATCTCAAATCAACTGATCAGTTACAAAGTTACAAAATTAGATATGCAAGAAAAACTAGGCCTCAACTAACCCAAATTCTAAACCCCAAAGCTAATATGAACGCTGATCGATCTAGCTAGCTCTCAGATCATTTACAAGAAAGTAACAATTATAGTGGGGTTATTGCCTGTAGTTATGAATTCTTCGAATTTGCTTCTATCTGCAAGAGCTGTTCTAATCCACAGCATGTCAAGTCTACAAGTGTATGAATTACTGCTGGTGTTCAGGTTAATTCAACTTCCTGATTCATGTCAGATACTTCATCACTTAAGTCACGACCTGATGTTTCGATAGGGAACAACAAGACAGATACCCCAGAAACAAAGATAATGGCCTCAAACAGAAGAATGGCTGCAGTTCGGTGACAACCATGAATCAGACTCACTGCCACAAGGGGGCAGGTCATTCCACCAATTCTTCCCATAGAGCTGGCAACTCCTACTCCCGTTGTTCGAACTGAGGTTGGGTATATCTAGACAAACATTTATAGACAGAAGATTAATATTGCAAATTAGAAAGTCCAAAAAAATAGATAAAATGAATAATATGCGTCTGTTAGTAGATCAGTAAGCTCCTGTTAGTCCTGTAGAATGGCACAGTACAGATGCTAATTGTCAACATCATGGACGTTTACAGATTCCACACATTCCACTTAAATTCAAATACAAACTCGTTAACATGCCTTCAATTAATGTCTTTGATCAAAAAAAACTTTATAAGTAAGTTATACGCAGCAACTCATATCGACATACTCATTTTACATTAGTCAGCAAACAGCTGAACATGAATTTGGGACATCAATGTCGTCAAGGCATTAAAAGTAATCAAGAAAAAGTTGGGTTTCCTATCTTATGAAATTGCTCTTATAACTGACAAATTTATCACTTTATTCAATTCTCATTCCTCAATCATCCAAAAGACAGGTAAAACCTCGCATGCTTGGTTCCTCGCAGATTAGAGGTTCCACTCTCGTATTACAGAACTTGAATAATACTAGGGGAGGAAAAGAGGGGGGGGGGGGGACTAGCTAGAAACTATTCTCTAAATAGAATATATATAGCATTTATGAGATGTTCTAGACTATCTCAATCACATTGGCTACAGCTACCACCAAAGGTAGTAAAGAATGGCAAAATATACAGAAATTATTGACTTTTGAGGTTTTGCATTCACAATTTACAGCAACAGATAAGGAATACAGGGATACTAAAATGCATTGAATTTTGAAAGTCACAAGTCAATCACTCTTCAACTTTTACGAACAACTTAACCAATATATAGATTACTGATAATGGGAAATGTCCAACCTTTTGGAATTTTTTTACAGCATGAAGGTATAAAAATTCAAATTTGGCAGACTAAGTACTGTAAGTTACCTCTGGGGCATATATGTATATAATGTTGAATGTTGATGTGATACATATGCGGGCACCAAATAGAAGGGGTGTTACTAAGCCCCCGGACTGATAGAAGGCCAATGGTAGTAGGAAAAGGCAGCAAAGGAAAAACATAGATGCCATAGAAACCTTGCGACCAACATTGTCCACCATTGCTGCAGACAGAAGCAGCCCCGGAAACTCTAGAATATAGCAAATCAGCTGACATTAATTAGTCCCTATTACAAGAAGTAACAGGATAGTCACTCCTAATCTGAAGTACAAAGGTAATACCTGCAAAACTGGTTATGAAAACATTTTTGTAGTTTACATCCACAGATTTCCCCGACTCTGATGGAGAATGATTTGGAGTACACTTATTATCACTGCTGCTCAGAGCAGTCGTCAACAACACAAGTCCATAATATGCAAATGCATTTCCAATGAACACTACCCATAAGAGCAGGGTTGACCTTAGTAATTGTGGTGAAAGAAGGGTGAAGACAGAAGTTCCTTTTTGTGGACTACTTGTAGAATCCAAGCTATCAACTATTTCAATTTCTCCTTTATTTGGTGATAGCAAACGTGCATCTTCTGAAGGAAGATCAAATACTTTGGCAACTTGGTGATCAGAAACAAGAATACCAGGTGGAAGTTCTGCTTGGTTCAATCTTGCTATCCTCTCCAAAATTTCTACTGCTTCATCTGTCCTACCTGTCCTGCACAGATATCTGGGTGATTCGGGTGCAGTTTGGTAGAAGATGAGAAGTACTGCAGAGGGGACTGCAGAAAATGCCAGTAGCCATCTCCAACCCAATGAAGGCATAACAATCTACAAAAGGCAATTTTTAACCGAGTAAATAAATGGCAATTCCATAGCTGAAGAAGCTAACCATAACAAATTAAATCATAACCCCAACTCCCCAAGTCCTAAGTCCTAACACACTCCACCTTTTTATTCATTGGTGAAAAAAGCATATACAAAGTAGTTGCCAGAATGAATTCCATCCCTCATACATCCCCCAACACCCCCCCCCCACCGCCACCTTTGATAATCAAACCATGGAAACATACCCCTTCTAATTCCTCTTCCTACATGACAAACATGGGATACATACTCCCTTGTCCAAAATCCCACTGAAAAGAAGCCCAAAACAGAATTAAAAACATGAATTGGGTTACTGCCATTGTTTTATTGCTACTGTAAGCGTGCATTGATTGATGCAGGCCACTATCAAAGAAATCAATTCATTAAATGGTACAAATGTGTTCCAAGATAGAACTGGCAAACATTATAGGATGGAGGGAGTATCTATGATCATTTTCTAAACTTTGACGCTCAAGTATCAATGATGGCATAGTCTTATCATTGAATTTTTCTATTAGAAATTACATCTGCACATATTTCCTTCCAAAGTCTGCTTTTCATTTGCTAATGGCAGATTGATGTATTCTTTTTGAAGACAGTACCATCACAACACACAAATTCGTAAAGACTAATAACGATATAGGAGGGATAAATGATAATGCTGTTTATAGAATAATACCCAAGCTAGTGAAGCCTCCAACAAAGTCCCAACAGTCCAAAAGGCTGAAAACAGAGACATCCAGGTACCTCTTCTGGGAGCAGGAATGAATTCCAAAAGCCAGGATGAGAGTACCGGCCCTCCTCCCAAACCAAGACCAACAAAGAAACGAAAGAAGATCAATGTCGCATAGTTTGGAGCAAGAGCACTAGAAATTCCAGCTGTTGATGTAAAAATTGCAGTTATGAAAAATCCATTCCTGGGAGATAAGATAAATGTGATAAAAGTGACAAGTCTGTGTGAATATAGGATAAATGGTATGGGAGCAGCTTTATTTTTTTCAGACCATTATCATAATTTACATGAAACACAAGCTAAACTATACAGGCAAATCATTAGCATCGGAGCAAGGAGTCAAAGACTCGATGAAGTAGAACAGAAACTGGCAAAAATGACATATAGGAGAAATGCAAATAATTGATATTCGCATTCCTGTGGAAAAACACAAGCCTGTCTACCCTAAATCTTACGATACATGCGTATAAATAGAACGAGGCATGACTACTTTATGCAGACAGAATAATTTTTAAACCATTAAAGGATTCTGCTAGAGCATGACATCAGATTACATTAAAGTTTTTAGAAAGTTCTTACACAAACAAGTTCTTTAAGAGGCATAGAGAAAGCCTACATAATTTCTGGTTCAGGCAATATGGCTTCTCCATAGTTTTAAAACATAACTTCAAGATTATGGCTAAATAAACACTTAGAGATAAGGGGTGGAGGGGTCCAATGTTAATTTGTAAAAGTCAAGAGAAGTAAATTTTATATATGCAGAGATGATTGTTATGAGATATTTGCAAATGATGATAACAATACAAATGGATGGGAAGGCTAAATCAAAAAGATATCTGCACTCACTATATGTTTTAGCTTGTACAAGATAGCATCATTAACTACATCAAATACTTCCTAGCTTCCAAGAATATGTAATCAACTGACAGAAGAGCTCACCTCCGCCCATACTTATCTGAAACTATGCCCCATGAATATGAACCAATCAGCATGCCAGCAAAAACCACACTGGTTATCATACTTTCTTTATTTGGAGAAAGGCCCCATTCTGCCTGAACAGCTGGTCCAACAAAGGAGAGAAGCATCATCTCCATTGCTTCCGCAATCCATCCCATTCCAGCATATGCAAGGAGATAAATCTGAAATTTTCCAGAGCCCATGGCAATGAGGGCATCATCAACCGTGTACTTTTGCACTTCTTCTTCCATCTGCAAAACATTAAACATTAGATCAATATTCTACTGACTTTAATTTACAACAAATTGCTAACAATATAACAATTGTAAATCTCAATAAGCAGCACAACACCCACTCCATCAGCCTGTATAAAATCACTAACATTGTAAATGACTTAAAAAAACTAGATGAACAACTAAAGAGTCTGCCACAGAGATTCGGCTAGTCAGCTTCCCTCCTCAAACATAAAATTAGCAGTTTCGCTATACAATAGCCAATGTTTCCATGGGGGAAAAACGTCGAATTCTCATCATCAGCTACCATTTTTTTCAACCATTTCTCAGAATAATTTTTAAAAAGAAAAATATGTCTAAACAACTCCATTAAAAGGAGTACTTTCTATTACTCATGTCAAGACTCAAGAGTCAAGACCATAATCTACAATGCATTGAGTACTCAACACACACTCATAATATACAATGCATTAAGTAGTCAACACACACACTCACTCATTATACACACACATCATACATTTACTAATTAGAGAAACTGATACATAACACCCAAAAATTAACCCTTTACTGAACCAACTCAATGACATTCTAACAGGCTTATACCAAAAACCAAAATCAGCAATCAGAAACTATAACTCGACTCGAACCGATGAATGTTCCCTGAATCACCAACATTTAACCTTAATCATTTGCAATTTTCAAGCTCCCACATTCTTAAAGCATACCATAACATTGCACATTACCCATTTCAACTAACCATTGTCTCAAAATGCAGATCTCTATATTTCCACTGACTTACAAACTTACACTATCACAAATAATAGGTTAAATCTACAAACAATTCTAACAGCAACCCAGATTATCTAGTCAACAATCATATAAACTACAAATCAAATCAACCCATTATACCATCAATTAACAATAACACTAAATACCCAATTAATAAATAATCAAACAAACCTCAATGTATAAGCTCGAATCCCAAAACTAAGAAAAGGGAAACCAATCAAAGATGGGTAAAGCAGAAATTTGTTCTAGAAACTGGCGTAAACGATGGATTACTTTCTGCTTAGCCCCCAACAACAATGGCGGAATTGAAATTTAAATTCTTTCTCCTTTGATTCAGAATCAGGGTAGAAGATGAAGAAGAAGATAGTAATAAGAAGATGAAGAATTGACTGACGCATTTTTGACTTTTCGACGTTTTATAATAAGGATTTTCGTCAAATAATGAAACAGTGTAATGTCATCGACTTCGCCAAGTTTGCACATGCCGGATTTAAAATTCAGAGAATATTACAACTTTCGACGCTTTAGTTGAGTAATGTGTAAAGACGATTTTGCCCTTTGGCACTTTCTGTCTCCAAGCTCCAACACCATAGTTCTTATTCTTCTTATCAACAAGCCTATTATGTCCAATTGTCCTTAGTACTATTATGGGATGGATCCATCATGGCACGTGAGGCCCGCTAGTGGGGTGCATCATAGATTATGGCGCTATTAGAAAAGACGATTTTACCCTTTTGCACTTTTTGGTTCGTTTCCAAGTTTGACATAAGCACAAGTGCACCACGGATGATTTTTTTTTTTCGTTTTTTTGGTACAAGCAAACAAATAGTCTTAAACCTTTTATGAAGCTATGGGGCATGAGCACAATGAGTTGGTTTGTGTCCCAAAATAGACTCCATTGAAAGAGTTTGAGTTTTTGTCCACCAATACCATCATTTTCGATACCTTTTGTCTCCACTAATATGTCCGCCACCATTTTTAGCGATTTCGCCACCAAATCAAACAAAAATTCTAAGATCAAAGAAATGAATGACATGGTCGACCCTAAAGGGGTAATTGTGTTATGTTACTCCATTGAAGGATCCCTTAAGCTTATAAAATCTCTATATTCTTCTTTTATAATTTGTATTTTCTCTACAAACTCAAGGTTCCCAATCTCAACTTCCTATTTTTTCTTTATAACAATCAATCAATAATCATCAATTCAGTTATAACTATATACTAAAAGACACACCATCAATGATACGTGTCATTTTCTGGTGTGTCCTAAGTATATTTTTTTTTTAAAAAAAAACACTATTAAAAAATTGATAGAAAATATACGCAAAAAATTTTCTTCCAAAATTTAGGAAAAGAAATCGTAACATAATATAGTTACCAATTTAGATATCTAACCATATTTTTATATAAATTCCTATATATAAGTAGTTAATTTTTTTAATGTCTCTAAAAAAATGTATAATTATTATTTATAATAAAAAATCATGAATATATGTATTTCAACATAACATAATTAGTGAATGAAAAAATGATCAAATGTTAAAATAAATAAATAAATAAATAAATGTCATCAAGGTTCAAAATAGAAGAAAGCTAATTATTAAGAAAATATATGGCAAAATTGACCGCGTCACCCTGAAATATGACTTAGATGCAATGATTACCCTGAAATTTGCTTAGTAGCCAAAACGCCACCAAGTCACCAACTATGGTGTAATGTGTGACGCGTGTCTTAAATGAAAAATTCCGACCACTTATTTCATCGAAGGAGATAAATCCGAGATTGCCAAGTGGATGGGAATTGTTCACCATTTCTTTAAATTATTATGGAGAGTGCAACTTCACCTAATTCGATGAAATAAGTGGCCAGAATTTTTCATTTAAGGCATGTATCGCACCTTACACCATAGTTGGTGGTGTTTTGGCTACTACGAAAAGTTCAGAGTGCTCAGTACACCTAAGCCATGCTTCAAGGTTTTACGGCCAATTTTGACAAAATATAATGAGTAATTTTTGTATACATCCGGTGTACAGTAATAAAATGTTCATCAAGGGTCACTTTTATCATATTTAGGGTCACTTTTACAATTTTTTGGGTCACTTTTATCAATAAAAGCATAAATATTTTGTAACTTTTATTTATGACAAGGTAACTTTTATTCATATTAATGTAACTTTTGCTCATTTTAGGGTAAATTTATAACGGATGTGTAATATTTTACTTTTCCTTCGATTTATTTAATTTGTCAAATATAATACAGTATGTAGCCATACAACAATTAAAAAAAATTTAAGTTGCTTGATTTAGAATAAAATAATAAATAGATTTTAGACCAAATTATTTTTATATGTAAATATAGTTTTAAATTGATACTCCGTAACAAAGACTGAAAAACCGTACATGACACGAGATCTAATCTAGTATAAACATACTATTCTTCTACTATAATGGGGTATTCAATTGCTTATGTTGGGATTACAATACAATTATACAAGTATAAGATAAATCAAATAAGATCTCACCTATCTATGTTTTTCTAATCTATTTTGGAAGTATGTGATATTATTAGTCTATTACACAGTAAACTATTTTGTGATTATTTTATGCATCACCTTACTTTAATGATATGAGATCATCAAATCAAAGAAGATGCTTTGATACAATAATAATGACATCCAATAATATTTTAGACGTTTGAAAAGAAAATGAAACATTTAAAAAACTTTAAACTCTACATAAATCATGCGAGAGAGCTTTGTTGTTTTTTATCCTCTAAATGTAAAATGACATGTTTTTTTCACGTAAAATAATCCATATATGGATGACAACACTTGTATACAACCTGTTTCGGGGTTTTCTGATGTCCTGCGGGAGAGTTACAATTCCGAGACTGGAACCGGACGCCTGTACCTGCAAAATAACGGAGACTCCTGAGAGCTCCGCCTCCAACGGTCAAGTTAGTACCTGATTAAGGAGTAATTAATACAGAAATTAAAGTAATAAGGTCTCTCTAGGTGAGAGTATTTAATGTAGGTAATCTGCCTTGCTAGCGAGATCAGCCGGTTATTAGTGTGTTCCGTAATGTTTCTCCTCCGTTCCGTTAATTATTCGGTCCTTTGATTAATGAGGATTAATCGAGTATTTATAGCCTTGGGAAGCGTGCAACTCTCTAGGTTTAAGGTAAACCTAGGGCCGAACGGGCTTCTAGACTGAAATGGGCCTTGATGGCCGGTTGTCCCATTTGGCATGGGTGGACACGTGGCGTGTCTTAAGTGGTCCGTGGAGGACGCGTGGCGGAACCTGGTTGGTCCACTTGTCAAACGGCGCTTGGTGGATAAAAATCCCCTAATCATTTGCCCCTCACAGGTGGCACGCGACTGGTCACGTGTCGCCTGTGACAGGTGTCGCACGGTGACAGGCGACGGCCCGTTACAGGTGTCACCTTGCAGACGGCCGGGAGACTCTCCCGCCCAAATTTGAATTCGGAGGCGACCCTTCGCCTTCTCATTTTGCCTATAAAAGGAAGTGCTGACTTCGGTCATTTTCACATTTGAGAATTTTTGCGAGAACATTCGGACCCCTGAACTTGCTCTGACATTTTCGGACTTTTTCTGCCTACCGCCTGTTCTGACAAGCCGACTGACCCGAACTTTCAGGACTTCATCAACTGTCATCCGTTCAGGTAACTCAGTTCTCTTACTCTTAATTTTCTTTTTATTTTTTGAAATGGCACCATGGAAGCACACGACACGCCCTAAGTTAGTGATCAGCCGGTCACCGGGGACGGCTGAATCTAGGACTAGGAGTGCCGCCTGCCCTTTTCTGGACCCATCTTTGCCCTTTATACAAAGTCCGACTGAATCTGTGTCTATGCAGAACGTGATGGCCAGAACAAAAAAGACTGCTAGAATATCAAACTCAGACGGCTCCTCCCAAAGGGTACTCCTTAGCGAAACATCTGACCAGGCGCCAGATGTGGAACGAGGCGACTGTCAAGCTGACAGTTCTGAGAGAGGGACCAAGGTGTTCCCTTCTCATCTAACCGTGGACATGTCCAATTTACCTTCTGCTCCTTCTAAGGGAGAGGAGGCGGGCCCCTCTAGGAGAGGGGAGGAGTCGTCCTCTTCGGACTCGTCAGGGGACGAGTCCGATTCCAGCTCTTCTGACCATAGTTCTTCTGACTCAGAAGAAAAACATAACCGCCTACAAGAGGCGAGAAGTTCCCATGCAGTGGAGAAGGGGGATAATTGGGCAGAGCCGTCCGCCTCTTACAGAGAGGAAAACACCCCCTACTACTGCAGGGTGCCCCGGGGCCGGATCGCAACCATGCGAGACAACGTGGCGAGCTTTATTGCTAACCACAAAATGGGCCCGGAGTATTTATTGTTTGTGCCGGATCCAGAAGATACTGTCGTCTGGCCGGCTGGTACCAGCTATGGTGACGGCTGTTTTGGCTGCTATGTGGCGACCATCAAAGCTGGTCTGCGCTTCCCATTACATCCGGCTGTTCAGCGGATTTTAGATGGGTATGATCTGGGGTTATGGCAGTTAGCCCCCAACTCTTGGGTAAACGTACTCGGCTATGTGGCCGGGTGCGAACTGAACGGGGTGGAGCCAAGTTTTGAGGCTTTCGCCCACATGAACTATCTCAGCCGGACCCCTAAGTCGGGAGGTACCGGCTGGTATCAACTAACAAGCCACAGGGGTTACCTCATGACGAGAGGTAAGGCAAACAAATGGAAGGATTGGCGGAACACCTTCCTTATTATCGAGAGTTCAGACACGGAGCTGAACAAACGTTTTAACAAGTGGAACAGGGATCCGCCTCTTCTTTCAGGCGGCCGCAGCATGCCGCCTGTTCCCCCAAAGGCTAAAGGAGAGATCCTAGACAAAGGACTCTTCAAAGTAGAGACTAGGGTGAACTCTACTTCAGGGGTACGAGAGCAAGTACCCCTACACTGCGTCCCGAGCTTCAAGTGGCTCTATGATGAGTACTTCTTGGCCGCCTGTGGCCTCGGCAGTCGGTGCTCTAGAGGTAGCCGGCCTGACGAATACTCTGTTTTCTCACGCCTTGTTTACTTGGGATTTTTACTAACTTTGCTGTTTATTTCTTTCAGCCGACGCCATGAGTAAAATAACAGCATCTAAGACTGCGGCGGCCATGCTGCGGGTTTCACTAATGAAGCAGTCGTACGCCGACTCCCCCAGCAAGGAGGCACCCTTGGTCAGCTTTGAAAACTCTTCCCCTTTAAGTTGTATTATGCATATACTAACTCTTTTTGTTTTCAGTCTGGCACTCCAAGGGCTTCTTCCTCGCAACAGCCGGACCCCAAGGCCCGGAGAACGACTGTTGCAAGCTCTCCTGGGTCTTCCAGGAAAACAGTGGCGGCTGAGAAGCAGCCGGCCACTTCTTCAAAAACCCAGGCGGGGCCGCCTAGATGTATGGACACTTGCTTGTAAAAACTCACTCTTGCTTCCTTCTTGATTAGGTCTAACTTGTTTTTCCTTCTGCTTAATGCAGCCGGCCCCCAGGGACTTGACTTGGTTGAG